CAGGGTGTGGCCTCAACCCCAGGAAAAAATGGACACTGGGATCGGGGTGTGGCCTCGACCCCAGGGAAGGGGACGCTGAGGTCGGGATGTGGCCTCGTGACCTGGATTGAGGGGACATGGATTGGGATGAGGCCACGTCTCGGGGATGTTGGGACCTGGATGTGACTTGGGATCCAGGGCCATGGATCAGGACGTGGCCGTGTCCCCAGGGAAGGGGGGCAGGAGGCTGCGGCGCATCCCTGTCCCCTGGGAATGGTGACATCGGGATGTCGGGATCTGTCCGCGACCCCGGGACATGGGGACACGAGGGGTGGGGCCCCTCAAGACACACCCCGTGATGGCCACACCCACGGGTGACACACGTGGGGGGGTCCCTCGTGTGTCCCCCACCAAACGTGACACACACGTGATACAGGTGACACACACCTGGCACACACGTGATACAGGTGACACACACGTGACACACACATGATACAGGTGACACACACGTGACACACACGTGACACACACGTGATACAGGTGACACACACGTGACACACACGTGATACAGGTGACACACACGTGATACAGGTGACACACACGTGACACACACGTGACAGGTGGGTGACCCCGCCCTTCCCCGGGCGTCTACGTGGGGGCGCCCCGCGCGCTCCGCCCACGGGGCGTGGTCTCCGAGCCGCCAGCCAATGGGAGCCGGCATCGCTGCCGGAGGGGGCGTGGCCAGCCACAGAGGTCGCGCCTCCCCGCTATTGGTCCTAAGCCGGCTCAGCCCGCCCCCGCGCCGGCCAATCACAAGAGCGGAGCCGCGGCGGCCACGCCCGCTCGCCATCTGACATCCGCGTCCGCCAATCGCCGAGCGGGGAGCGCGGTGAGCGACAGCAACCGCCCGCCAATGGGGGGCGCGATTCGCGCGGCGCGGGCCGCGGGCCAATGAGCGCGGGGGAGGCGGGGCGGCGCGGCCAATGGGAGCGCGGGGGCGGGGCCCGAGCGACGCCGTTACCTCCCGGGAAGGAGGAGGCGGCGCCGCCATCATGAGCTACG